AAGTCCTCTAGAGTCCGTTCAAGTCTATTCAAGTCCATCAAAGTCCCCTTAAGTCCGATAAAGTCTCCTCAAGTCCGTCGGACTTTTCAAAGTCCGTTCAAGTCTAAAGTCCGCAGTTTCCCCCTTGCATTATATACATCTTTTTAACCGCTGCAGAAAAATAGAGCGTCACTACCAGGGCTCCGCGTGGGATGGGATGAGCCTAAAAATTTGCCGTCCCATCCCATCCCATGGGATGAAACTTTTTAAAAAACGTTCCATGGGACTGATGAGATGGGATTATCCCATCCCACGATGGTCACCACTCTTCTCCTTGATCGAAATCGTTGCTGAAGTAGTATACGGTAACTGAACTCCGTTCGACGTTAGCAAATCTAATTTGGTCAGCTGAGAAAGAATGTAAACTGTAATTTCTTACATTTCCCATCTTTGTTAGATATCTAATATATGCGTCATGTATGAAGAATCGGAGCGAACGAAAGTTGGAAAAGAAATGGAAGCACTATTTCAATCTGCTCTATTAAGACTGTTGTAAAAGAAATTACTATTTTTTGCAACCCTAATGTGGTCAGAAGAATGCTTAGATTCTAAAAATTATTCTCATCTTCAACTGACGTTATTTTCGTAACGGTCATTCGTTAATTATCGAATTGCTGACTCGCTAGGTCGGACGGTACAATAGTTGTACGCGTACGTCACACTCTGTGCGTCAAGTACGCTTGACACGCACGTTGTGTACCGAGCGTGACATGGGGGTACGGCTCGACCTGGATCCTGAATATTATCATAGCATATTCACGTGACGAACGGGTAGAGATAACTACTTTGAACTGACTTATGATGTAAACCTTATGTATTGATTTCTATGATGGTAATGTTCACTCATTGGAATTTTCAGTTTCGTGTGCCCTGCATCACAAAGTTAAAATTGGATCAAGTTTTGAGAAAAACTTTTTGAATTATAATCAGTAAACTATAATCAGATGGTGGTTAGAATTTTCATTTTGTAAACAGTAAGCAGTGCCAGTTAAAATGCAATCATATAACCAAAAGCACACTATCTTTGCACTTCAAAGATTTTAACAATTTACTCGAAGTTTGTTTGCCCATCAAAAATCTGCAGCATACCAAGAGTAATTTCTCCGATTGTTGTATGTACCAGAAATTTTTGCTTTTGTTTATTTCGTTCAGTGTTACTTGATATTGTGAGATTCTTTTGATGATTTATAGATTATCTGTATGTGATTAAAAAAATGCCTCAATATTTCGGCAGTCTGCCGACAACAACAGATGCTTGGACCGCTATTGGTCGTGTTCATAGCATCAAACATGAGGATAAAAATACAATTCATCTACAATGTGATAATGCTCGTGTATCCATTAGTGTATTAGACTCAAATCTCGTACGTTCAGAGTATTTTACGTATTTATATCTAAAAATGACATTGTTTTATTAAGGTTCGTGTACGACTATGTGGAAAAGATGAAGAATTTTTACCACAACGACCTTGGGGTGTGACATTGGATGATTCGGAATGGATAAAAGAAAACTCCCAAATAATTGTGCAGGAAAGTCAGGATTCAATTAATATTCAAACAAGACAGATACGTATCTCAATTCAACGTGAAAAATGTTTAATTGCATTCTTCGATGATCAGAATCGAGCATTCGCACAAGACACAGATATAGGTAAGAGTAAATTAGATGATTATAGGTTTTTTGTCTCAGTGTTGGTCACTGAAAAATATTATTTTACTTTTAGGTATGGGTTGGCGAATGGGTAGTGTAGCTGGTTGGAAAAAGATTGAAAATGATGAACATTTTTATGGTTTTGGAGAACGCACAGGATATTTAGATAAATTATCTGAAATAAAGACAAATTGGGCTGTGAACTGTTTAGACTTTGATTCTTTAACAGATGAAATGTATATGGCTATTCCGTTTTACATTGCATTACGTTCAAATCTAATGTATGGTTTTTATTTCAATACAACCTATTGGAGTCAGTTCGATATCGGTTGTGAAAAACCTGGACAATTGAAATATGAAACGAGACATGGTGGACAGTTAGATTATTATGTAATGTATGGAAAACAACCATCAGAAATTATTCGAACATATACTCAATTAACAGGGAGAATGCCGCTTCCCCCAAAGTGGGCATTAGGTTAGAATAAGAACTGACACTTACTTAGTGGTACAAAAAAAAAATTAAGGCGAACCTAAAATCGAAACATCAATTCCGAAAAAATGTTATATATTTATTTGTATTTAGGCTATCATCAATGTCGTTGGAGTTATGAATCGGAGAATATTGTACGTGATTTAGCAAAAAATTTTCGTCAACGCAAAATTCCCTGTGATGTAATCCATTTAGATATTGATTACATGCGTGGCTATAGAGTATTTACATGGAGTAATAAACGATTCCCTAATGCAAAACAAATGATTAATGATATTAAACAAGAAGGTTTTAAAGTTGTTCCCATTATTGATCCAGGTGAGTAGATTTGTAATCCTTTTTTGTGTTCTGTAATTTACTTGAATTGACTGAAAAAAATGCTTGCTTCTTCAACTCGTGGACTATTGTGTTTCTTTTGATACGAACGGGTGTTTGAACACGATTTTAACTTTATTATATCCTATTTTTATTTGAGGAGTGAAATATGAGCCGGAAGCTGACTTTGCACCGTTTGATGAAGGAATGGAAAATGACTATTTTGTTCGCCATCGTGATGGAAGACTTTTTCACGGGTATGCCTGGCCAGGTTAGTTAAAATTATATTATTAAAAGGTTAGTAATAACATCTGTCATATGTACTTCTTTGTTTAGAAAAAATTGTCTTTCCCGATTTTGTACGATCATCTGTTCGTGAATGGTGGGGTAATATACACAAAACTTTGATTGAAGATGGCGTATGTGGAATTTGGAATGACATGAACGAACGTAAGAATGATGTCTAAGATTTCTTACTGAAAAAGTAAACGTACTGTAAAACTTTCTATTTGCATGAATTACTGTGAGAATAATTGAGGTGTACGCCTTCAATTACTTTTCATCAGTTTCTTTCATATTATATGATCAATTTTCATTTTATTTAGTTTATTGTTTTAGCTGCCGTTAGTGATCGTCCAATTGGTGATGGTGGTGCAAAAATTTGTTTTCCACTAGACGCCATACATGATATTGATCGCAAGAGACAAGATGATACAAACGGTCCAATAAATAATAAAACTGTTATTCTACAAGCATCTGCTTCGCATTCAGAAGTACACAATTTATACGGTTTACTAATGACACGGTCAACAGCAGAAGGTCTGTATCTTTTTTTGTTTATGCATCTATGTAATCTATACTATTTTTTGTTTTCCTTAACAGGGTTACGACGATTACGTCCAAAAGAGCGTTCATTTCTTTTAACACGCTCTGGGTTTGCTGGTGTCCAGCGCTATTCGGCTGTTTGGATGGGAGATAATCATTCTAAATGGGATTATTTAGAAACATCAATGCCAATGCTATGCAACAGTAAGACTCGTTGAGATACAAAAGGATGCAAGAATATTTTATCATTTAGTTAATATCTTTGTTTTCTTTCAGTGGGTTTATCCGGTGTTTCTTTTGTGGGGGCTGATATTGGAGGGTTTGCATCTAATGCAACAGCTGAATTATTTGCGAGATGGATGCAATTAGGCGTTTTATATCCATTTTGTCGTGGTCATTCTGCAATGACAACTGCCAGACACGAACCGTGGACTTTTGGTGAAAAAGTTGAAAATATATGTCGTGACTATTTGAATTTACGTTATCAATTGTTACCCTATTTATACACACTATTTTGGGAGTCATCGATGACCGGTTCACCAATTTTACGTCCATTGCTATATCATTATTTTGACGATAGTAAAACATATGCTTTGTATGATCAAGTACTATTGGGTGAATGGTTAATGGCTGCGCCTATTTATCGTCAAGGTGTAGAATGTCGTTGTGTTTATTTACCAAGGGGTACATGGTATGATTGGTGGACAAATGAAATATACGAAGGTTCAAAATATATTTTAGCTTCTGCTCCTCTAGAAAAAATGCCACTCTATGTTCGTTCGTGTGCTATTATTCCAATGCAACCAATTGTACAACATACAAATGAAATTGTCAATAAATTATTTCTAAATGTTTATCCACCACAAGATCAGAATGAACGGGGTGAATTTATTTTGTATGAAGATGATGGAAATACATTTGATTATCAATATGGTATTTATTCAACAACGAAATTTTGCGTTTATATAGATGAAAGTAAAAATATTTGTTTGGACATAGAGGAAAGACTAGGACAATGGAAACCGGTTGAGAGAGAAATTATTATCAATTTAAAATCAACGAAACAAGCAGAGCAACGAGTTCTAGATGATGGAAAAGCACATTCATTTAAGTTTAATTTTCAATAATTTTTTTTTCAACTTTCAAATGGATGTATAGATTAGAAACAACCTTTTCTGTTTATAATTGTTCAATTCTTCAAACTTTCTATTGTGGTGATTATTTATCTCGTGGTTGCTTGTTTTCTATGTCAGTGCAATTTTTTTATAGTGACACAGTAATTTACAAAAAAAGATTACAACTTTCTTAGCCTATTTATGTTCGTTTATTTTCATTATAAAGCCACTTTGGTCGAATAATCTTGTTAAAATCAAAACCTTTAAAAATAGATAAAGATTTTGTATCGTAAACAGAACTAATTGGTGACATTTGGGAAGGACCAACGCCTTCATCCTAGAGAGACTATTATTTAACGCGTAATAATTACAACTCATCAAGCAATGTCGATTACGTATTCTCGGAGGATATAGAACTATAAAAGAACGTTTTAGATGGCAGTTGTCTTTAACAAAAAATTAGCACAAGCTCCAAATGAGGTAATATCGTGAATGCCTGCCATCTTCTTCCTCAATTCTTTGTTTATCGCCTGACACTGGTTTAGACACATAGCAAATTCTTATTAACATCATCTTACATACAATCGTCAAACTCGTTTATTAGTGGTAGTTTTCCAGATGATTTGATGGTTTTGATCAAATATCAAGAATTAGAAGATAGCCAAAGTTTACTTTCATCAATAAAAACTGCATGGCACTGTGAAAATCGATTGTCATTTACCTTGGCTCGCCCTTCCAAATTTAACAATATTCCCATAATGATTAAAATCGCTGAAATCAATTTCGTCAAATTTAATACATCAAATATCTATAACTGAATTCACATCGATCGATTATAAACAGGAACAAGCTAAAGCTCAACGAAAATGATTATAAAAATTATCGTCATTTTCTTATTGTTATACTATGCACTGTAATTTTTTAGAACCAGTTGCAAAAGATGATCAAGAGAATGATCCACAGATGGAAGAAAAGAACGTTGACTTTGGTGAGTATCTTATTTTAAACAATCTTTGGTTTTTGACAATTCTTAAGAATGAACCGTAACAAAATTAGATCATGTATTGGTCAACAATAATTTTTGCTTGCCGGGTACGAAGTTGTCGGGCACGGGTTCTATTCTTTTTTAATTTACCCGAAAATCGGAAGGTTTTAGTGGAGAACCCACAAAATTTTAGTGGAAAAATACAGGACTTTAGCTAAGCTATATGAAGGTTTAAAAAGAATTACTTGAGAACGTAATGATAATTTCACATTTGCAGCCGAAAAACAAAAGTTTTTAGCTAGAAAACAAAAAGGAGAAGATTTTTAGGCATAAGTCGGGTACGGGTACAAAGTTGTCGGATCGGGTTGGGCACGGATGGAAAAAAAGTTTCGGGTCGGATATGAAAATGATACCCGTGCACGTCTCTATGTCATAATAAAGTATTTTTTCGTTTAGAACAACGCGAATCGCAGTTGCGACTTTACAGTAACGACTGTGATCAATTACTCCGTCTACAAAGTTTGCCGAATTGAGGGCAAACAGTAAGTAACAAACGACAGTCATTCTGATGTTATTTCGGCTATTAACTGCATTCACATGACTGAAATAAATACCAACGCCAGTACAATCAATAATTACTCAAAACTTGGCTTATTTTAATGTATTTTCTGTTTAGAACCGTGAAATACATCGGATGATATTAGAAGAGCTGATATCAGAACGCATGAAGCATTATCGCGTGAAATGTTATATCAAGAAAAACTTTTATTTCGAGTATCTAAATGCTTTCCCCGAAGAACGGAAACTTTCAATACTAATTCTAGATGTTCATCTGATGTCGGCGTCGGTCTTGTATTCCAATCGACAAAGAAATCAAAGTCGATTTTCTCGTAGAGTCGTAGGTTCGATGCTGATTGCCGTCATGAAGGTTTTCGATGTGGAAATCGTTACTTCGATCGTGATAATTCTGACAGATCCCGGTTTTATTTAATTATTTTCGCAGGAATAACTATTTGCTTTTAGTATATATTACTAAAAAGTTTTCATATTTTGGTTGCGCTACTCATCTGTTATGTATGTGGACAATTTTTAGTCTTTTCTATTGTTTTGCTTTTTTAATGTTTTTAGCGTGTGTTAGGATCAATGAGAAAATAATAAAACGTATACGCCACATTGTGAGCTGCTAATCCATCCTTTAACGATAAAACTGTTCGCAATGTATTTGTCATATACACTGTAATGTCGCGAATTATTTATAGAAAATGCTCGGCGATTTTCAAAAAGTCCATATATAAATTCCCTGAGGATTTTCTAGATTCTAGAAAATCGAATTTACAAGAAACTTGGAAATTCGAAGTCGAATTTCCAGAATTCTTGAAATTCGAGGTCGATTTTCTATAAATAATTCCCAAGATTCTTGAAATTCGAGGTCGAATTTCCAGAATTCTGGAAAATCGAGATTGAATTTCCAGTTCGATTCTCTAGAATTATGGAAAATGCTCAGTGATTTTCAATCTGGAAATTCCTCGGCGATTTTATATATGGACTTTTGGAAATTCGAAAAATGAAATTAATTTTCAGTTATCTGGAAAATCCGACAAATAAAAAAAAAAATAGGACAAAATAAACGTCGAAATGAAAAACATCTAACGATAAATGTCGGTTTCTTCTATAGAACACAGAGACTTATATGACAGGCACGTGTTTGATGATAATACAAAGCTTTTGTCATTTTAAACGAGATCGATGTTTACTGTGCAAAGATCTCGAAGTAAAAATGCACAGAAGTGAGAAATGCATAAAAGGTTGATGGTTTTATAACAGTTGTGAATATTCGTGGTGTAAGATCGCTTTGCTATTAGTGATTCTCAGGATGTAGCGGCGATCAGTTCGATTCTGTTTGACGCACAGAGGATTTCAGCCATTTCGCCTCATTCACAGAATATTCGATTGGCTCTAATAACGAACTGATCTTAGCGATAATATCTAGGGATATACATTCTCTGAAAGTCCAAGCGTGAATGTTTTCTTCACATACGGCAAACGTTACCATTAGCGAGTCTGAGGTGAGTGATTCACCTTGACTGCATTATGTTCCCGAAGAGAAAACCGGGTAAAATATAGTGAAATCAGTCTTAACTATCTTAAGAAACAAACTAAAGAATAGAAACCAGTAGTAAGTATAAAAAAAAGATTTCGGAGAACAATTGACTGATTGAAATTTGTCATGTAAATAAAAGACTCAATTAACGAAGGTTATGACTATTTAAAACATTATTTAGTTATTTTCACTACAAGACTTTCTTACAATTTAATTCAAATTATAAATTCAATCACAATGTTCCTATTTTGCGATCGCGCTGCGAGCCTGACCTGATCATGTCGAGATTTAAATCCTGCCGGGAGTCTTGCGGGACATTTTTCAGTTTTGTTTAGATTTTTCGGAATTTTACTGGGATTTCCTCGGGATTTTATGAAAAATCCTGTGGAACTCCCGTTACGAGGTCTCGTCGGGAGTCCCGCAAGACTTTTTTCTGGGACTCCCACTGGACTTTGGTCGCGAGTCTCGACTAGAGTAAGGATCACTGATATTAATAAAGTGGGCTTGTGCCAATTTACTTACGGCTAATCGATTCCGTTGCTACGGATTTCATTGTTTTTTGCAGATGTCTTTCCTGACCTTAAATAAATTGGAAAAGAATCGCGTTCAGTAACTATCTGATCAAAATAGATTTGAGCATGATACATTAAAAGTACACTTAGACTCCCACTGTACTTTTAATGTATTGCTATAGTGTCGGCTACACTACAGCGATATGAATAGCTGCATGCACAGGTTCTTGACATCAGCTGGAACCTTTGATGGTTCAGTACAGAAACTACCAAACCTTACAAAGGTCTGCATCTCCACCAGAACCCTTAATGTTCCATACGGCACCATTTTTTCAGAGATCAGAGCGTGTGCATTGATTCAAAATCGCTAGTGTACTCTAAGTGTACTTTTACTGTATTATGCTGGAATTTATTGAGTAGACAGCTATCTAATTCGACTCTTTTGCAATTTATTGTACTTTTAGCGTACTCATGATACAGTTTACGTATGTCATTGGTCCTAAAATCTGCCCGTAAAACACTTTGTGGTAAAATGCGGAAACAGATCACAACCAAAAACCACACTTAAAGTGTCTTTTTTGTTTACCCGAACGAGCCAAAAGCACGGGAAAAGTGTGCTGTTTCGCCTGTATTGGTGATTAAAGTTTCGATCTCCAGTCGCACGTTTTTGGTGTGTTATATACGAACTTTTATCGTGCTTTTCCAAGACACTATGTGCTCCACTCCTTTTCCAGCTGACAAATTAGATTTTTTTAAATAATTTTTTCAAAGAAAAGCTGATGGATGTTTTCTGATATTGTTTTTTGAAATCAAAGTTAGACAAGTCGTCACTTTTTCGACTCTGAGTCCGAATCGCTTAAAAAACTGACTCGAATCATTTACTAAACACAAAATTCCAGCTAATTCAGAATATCTCTCAGCTTCTGTTATTTTCAGCCTTCATTGTACTGTGCAATTTATGCTACGTGTTTTCTTATTTATTTACTTTTTTTGTAACCTGGGCCTAACGATGTGGACACTACATCACTCTCTCTATTCTCGTGTATAATAAATATAAGAAACATCTTCATAATAATACAAAGTTTTAAATGATTGACGCTCAGTCAGTTTATCGAGTCTTTGGCCTCGAATCCGAATCATAGAAAAATGTGAGTCGTGCGTGACTACGATTCGCTCATTCCTGATACATACAGAAAAACAGGCACACTGCATCTTATTTTGACTATCGTGAGACTTGTTATCATATCTTTAGATCATATCAATGATTTCATTTGCTTTCTTTTGACCGAAACGTCTGTTGTAATATTGTGAACTTTGAATATATAAACTAAATCTGATCACTTTCACTATCCTTCATTCTAGTGAATATTTTCATTGAATTTTGTTTCGTTATAGATAGAAAATCAGAATTTGTCTAGTTTTCTAAAAAAACAGAAAAAATGTATTATCAGCTTTTACTGTTGCATATCCGACGAATCTGATACATCTAAAACTGCTCATGGACGATGATGATGATGATACTAACAACAACAATGATCCTCCGACAGAGGATACATGTTATCGTAATTCAAGGTTTTATGATGCATCACTAAAACGATCAAATAGTTCACCGGCTATTCATATGATCATTAATAATCTTGAGTAAGTTTGTTAAAAAAATATATAAAATTTATTTATTCATTGTAGAAAAAAATCGTTTTGTAATTACTTTTAATTTTAGTAATGATGTACAATATGATGATCTGGATCTTTGTGCGTCTAAATTTCGTCGGTACAGTTCGTCTTTTGTTGGTGTAAGGAAGAACTTTTCAATGAATACAAATTATCTACTATTTTATTTCGTTGTAGTCTTCACAATATTCAAAAATCGGACGTTTAGCTCAAATTATGAAGAACGAAATTGGAAATCCTATAATGGATGAAGTTTCACAAGAACGGTAATGTATTTTTCAATCAAATTGTAAATGTTAGATATACTGGCTTGATCAACAACGACACATCAAGTAATAGAATTTCTCTGTCTTGTATGAATCGTAGACCATTGATTTATATTCGATGTGTGGAATAACCTATAGTTTTCTTTTAGTGATTTACATGATAATATTAAAATGTCGATATCATTTACTGATCTTGCTGTTGGAGTATGTACATGTCTACTATTTTGAACATGTGCGTTGATTGTTTTGTTTTATTTTTCTTCTGATTAGGATGAACAGTTACCTCCACCAATAGCTCAGTCGATCGATAGTCGTCGTTCATCAATCAATAGTTCCGATTCATCCACCAATTATTGTCTACCTTTAAGTCCCTCAACTCCAATTCGAACTGGTAGCATTGTTAGTAATCAACGGGTAAGTGGTAGATTTAAAACATGTCAAAAATCTATCACTGCATACACACCTGTCATTTTTTTTCTCTAGCAATGTTATTCACCTGCTTTACAGCAACAAGTTGCACCATTCCAGTGTTATTTATCGAGTCCACCAGTAAATCAAATCATTTTCGTTTTCTCATTCTCATCATATTTTGTCTACGTTTGTGTAAATAATTCATTTTGTTTTAGAGTCGTTCACAAAGTCCAATAGCCAAGTCATCGTCATCTTCATCTTCTTGCTCATTGTCAACACATCTAGCAACCTTTCCTCCGAATCTAAAACGAAAAAGTAAGAAAATTGTTAATTTTTCCATTGAAAAAAGAACAATGTATTTCTTATTTTTGTTTAGATTGTGAAGATCGAGATAACGCTTGTCAAACAAATAAACGAACGGCACTCGATAAAGATTATTTATTTGGAGAACAAAATACTTCTTCACCGTAAGTTTAATTATCTAACGTCATTCTTATGTAAGAAAGAGAGGGAGAGTTGGCTACTGTTGTCGCAAAATCTTATCGAATTTAATTTAATTTTCCCTGTTTCAGCGAATCATTTTCAAGTGAACATGGTCCATTGACTGTGCCCTCACCATTAATTAATACAATCAACAATAATAATCTTATATTATCGTCCAACTCATCGTCATTTAAACCAGTTCTTCGTCGATTGTCAAATACAACTTCACAACAGACACAGCAACAGCATTCAACTAGTTTTAATATTTATACCATTACACCCTCTTCTTTTCCACTTTCTTCACATCAACAACAAATTGATATTGATTTATCATATTCAAGTAATCATTTTGGTTCAACTTGTTCAAGTCCAACATCGTCTACATCCTCTTCCTGTTCGTTCGTACCAATATCACCGGCAACAACAGCGTCAACATATTCCTCTTGTATATCTGCATCATCATTACTAGTACCATCAGCTCATTCATTCGACAAACATAATATTCATTCATTAGTAATTCCATCATCGGATTCACGCTCAACGGAAACAATCACATCTACAATAAGGTAAATCAGCAGTGAATTTTCATTTTTATGTCAATTTTCCGAAAAGATATAAGCTAGATAACGGGTATGCTAGCGTGAATGATCCTCTCAGTATTTTTTGACTAGCTCTTTTATTATTAATCGTGTAGACTTAAACTTCCTTTTGAAATGGTCGCCAATTCGCCATTATTCTCAAACTGCAGCTTTGCAGTACTTGCGGGAATTTTTATAAGTTTATCAGCATTTTGAGGTCGGATCTGTCCTGCCTTAAAGCAAAATGATTTTTCTGTTACATTCGAATAGAGAAGAATAAATAGGATCCATTTCTTTTCTGTATGAAGACTTAACAATTTTAGTAAAAACACTCTTTTTTGCTTGAACAATACGTTTAAAGCGGACATATGATACACGAAAAGAAAGACGACACTTCAAAGGACGTTTTGATTTTACTTTTATGCATAGCATCATGTTTAAACTACATATTTTTCGATTGTGTTGCGGATTAAAAATTTGCCGAAACTGAAGCTTTACAGTATTTCATCTGTATTCTTTTACTTTTACAGTATATAGAAACATGTTCAATATGATTTTTGTAGAGAATGAAATCGACTCGTTTAGAAGAAAGTTTAAGTCTATGCGGTCAAAGATGAAAAACTTTATTCGAAAAATACTGAGAGGGTAGCATAAGCTGCCATACCCGTTCATTGTATACAAATGAGAAATATATTCCTCGATTAAAATTGCATCGAAATCAGGTGAAATACTCGTACCTACATGTTTTTATTTAGGTCACAGCAATATAATTATTCTCATTCAAAAATAAAATCCGGCTCATCGAATCAATTACAACGTGATCGTTCATTAGAAACTGACTCTGATTCAACAAAAGCGACATCTGATACTTCTACTACCACAAGAAAGTTAGAGCCATTATCTGTTTTATTACCATCACTTGACACCTTCGAAGCAACTGCAGTAGTGAACGACGATGATGGTTATTCATCGGCTTGTGCCAGTCCCAAACGATCAATTGTTGACAATAATGTGACGAAATATACGTTTCAAACATATTCAATTGATTCGAATAGTCCCATCCCTTCTTCTCCAACTACGGATAATTTAGATTTAGATATTGCTCAGAATGATTAGTTTCACTGCATTTCCAAACATCATTCCACAATTAATCATTAATGCATAATTTTCTTTTCGATATGTTAGCGCGTTATTACTACACAAAAAGTTTCTATTCACCGGTTCTTTTCTCTATTTGTCCACTAATAACCGTCTGTTTTTTTTACTTTGTTAATTTGATTTTTGTTTTTCTTGTTGTCTAAATCATGAAAATTATTTATATTATCTGAACCTGGAATGTGCTCTTTTCCAAATTGCAGTATCTAACAACCTAGAGGCCAAATAGGGCTGCGCATTTGTAAAACTATTCTCTGTTTTATTTTTCTTGTATATAACTTATAAAACTGTGTATCTATACCTTTTTGTATAAACACTATTTTACATTATTGTACTTTCGACAGGGAATCAAGACGTTTTAGATATATGTTTACGTGTCCGATTTCAAATTTTCGTTCTCTGTCACTAATGTTTTTGACGAAAATATCTCTTTTGTAATCAGTCAGAAAGGTTTCACGTGTCTTTTCTTTTTAATTGACATATGCAATCAACAAGCTCACACAACTGATCAACAGAATACATTTGCGTAAACGAACAAAAAAAAAGTATTCTTATGCAAACAGAATTTCTTATACATTAAATTGCTATTATACGTAAATTTATAGTAAATAATTCTTTTCTTTGTGCTTCAAAAGTTATTTTTCTTAATTCTACTTTATCTGTGGTCTGATTATGAGAAATTAATAAAGAATAGTAAGTCTAATTCTTTTTTTCTTTATTTTATTTTTTGTTCATCTAGTAAATCGAATATTTATTTGGAAATTATACTGATATCTTTATAAATAAATACATATTTCAAATTTAACGCATTATGGTGAAGTCAAAATAAGTAAAATATGTTTTTCTTTTCATGCCTCATTTTTTCTTGTTATACTCGGGACAATACACTTGTATAGTTTGCACTCGTAGGTAAACGTGTGCATAGACTTTTGTTTGCTATGTATCAGACCCATTTGTCAGCTTCAGTGTTGCTGCAGAAAATAGTCGATATATTGTAAGATTTTGAGAAATTAAAGGAAAGAAAAAGAGTATGAATGAGCAAAAATAAAAGTATTGTTCTTTTTCAGTCTGCAAGGGGAAACTTCCTTTTCTCTTTATTTGTTGATAGGTGTTTTTTGTTCTTATTATTTCTCAATTAATCATGTACAATTATTTTTCTTTCGTTTTTACCAAAAAAAGTCTGTTCTTACATAAACAAGAAAAATCGATAACGTTTTTGCTCAATGTACGTACACTTTGTTCTAGTTTAGCCAAAACAATTTTCGAGGAAATTTTTGATTCTTTTGGGTTGCTGCGGGGAGGAGCTCATGGTTGATTCTGCACGTTTTCTATGTGTCTTTGTTTCTTCTTTCTATCGTTATTGTTATTGATTCTGCTTGAGCTTTTATTTGTACTATTCTATTTGTTGATTAATGTTTTGTACTTTCTAGTTGCTTTAATCTTGCTGCTCTGTGTGTCAGTTTCATCATAATACAGATCTGGTTTTCTTGATGTTTTTTTTCAGTAGAAAAATGAATAAAACTATGCGTCTTTTAGGCGCATGTTATTTAATTTCTTCACTTATCAGCGTTTATGCTTTTTTTGTTGGATTCTGTGCGTACGCTTATCTATTATATAGTGTAATAAAATTATCGTCAAGATATGTGGCATATAGGTGGTTTGCTTGTCTAAAGCTAGAGGCTAGTATTTCTAGTTATTTCAAATGGATGTTTTCAAAAATTTGATAAATTATTGTAGTTTTGTTAATCTCCAAAGGATAACTTCAAATTCAGCAATTATTCTATATATGTTATACGGAATATATACTTATCATAGAGAGTATGAACATTTCTTGTGTTCACCTGATGTGGTCATATGATGTTTAACATAGAGTCTAGCAAGCCGATAGATTGTTTAGATTATAATCAAATGTTAGTCTTTCAAGTCAACGAAAAGTTTCAACAAAGACCTAACAACAGCATTTTTCGAGTTTTAATTAAATCGAATTTTAATTAATTAATTCGCAATTTTAATAGATTTCTGTATTTTTAGCTCAAATTGAATGTTGTAGATTTCCATAGTGAATGCAGGTGCATACGACTTCAGGTGCCTGAGTACTCTAGCAAGTTCTAAATAAAGTTCTTGGGATTTGTTGGAGATGAATCAAGTACTTGTCAAGAGATGAAGCACTTAAATTTACTTTAGCCTATTGTCGGATACTTGTTCAGATAGTCTGTGAATACTGTGAGCGATACAGCGGGTAAATTAATATTTGGTATGGACTTTCAGCTGCTTGGACAAGTAATTATCAAGCGATATTTTCCGAATATACTGCCAAGTGCTCACAAATATTCTTAAGTAAACAAGTATTCACTCGCCAGTGCATTCAACCGAGTTTTCACTTTGCTTATAAAAATAATTCGCTTATCGAATGAGTAATTGATAATAATTGATCCCTCAAAACACGTTTCGTATAAACCATATGACGGCGTGAAACAGAATTCTATTCAGACGCATATTCCTCAAAATCTTTATTTCTGAAAGATTAATTTCCTTTTAATTTTTTAAACTCGACTTGTTTGATACTAATAGATATGTTTTACAACCGCCTATTCGTTACAGAAAAACCCAAGCCTTGGAAACTTGGACTGGTTCTTACTACGCGCGCAGTCCTCGAGACTGCCTTTCTGTAACTTTTCACTCAACTCATGTTGAGATTATATACGTAGAACATCACCGAAATAAAACGGTGAT